TGGCATCAGTAGATTCACTATACAAAGTACGTATTGGTGCCATATAATCGAAGAGAATTATGTTCAAAGAAAAAAAAAACTAATCGCAATTTGACTTTTTACTAGTTATGAATAAAAAGGAACCCAAATAATAATTAGTATTTAACCAGGCAATAATTAGGCAGAAGTTAGTAATTATCTGGGCAAAAATTGATACTTAGCTAGGCATAAAATAATAATTAACCAGTTTTATATGAAAATAGATCTATAATTAAGTCAGTACTAATTATTTCTCAGTTTTTGTTTGATTTGTGTCTGATTATTGCCCAATTATTACTCAGTTTTTATCCAATTACATACTAGAAATGAATAGATATTTTTTTAGATTTAAATCAGATATTTTTTTTAATATCAATATATATATATTTTTCTAAAATGGTTAAAACCAAAGTTAGATCTCGAGTTCGACAATATCTTAACCCCACTGCTACTCCATTAACTCCTGAAGCAATTGAAAAAATAAGGGATGCTTATGCAAAACAGATACCAAATAGAAAATGCATTATATGTGCTAATTATAAAATTGGTAGTGAAAGATATGATAATATTGTAAATGGCCGGATATATTCTCAACCACCTAAAATAGAAATAATATCTATGAATTCATCTATCTCAATACCCCAACCAGAAATCTTGCCCATACATAGCTTATCAAGTGCCAGAAATCCTGAGCAAGTAATTTCTTTGAGCAAACTAGCGACAAAAAATACTAGCAGAAAATCAGAATCAAAAACTATAAATCATTTTATCTCATCAATACCAGAGAGTGATATGCAAGCTAGAATAAAAAATTTACAAGAATATAAAAAACAGCTTCAAGCTGAATCTTGAAATCGTATCAATTCCTTTTCAAAATATTCTGCGTAATCAAGAGCTCTAATAAATTCCTTTTTAATAGTTGCTTTATTTTCTAGATTTTTCATACCTAATATGATTTGAATCTTGGAATGGAATTCTAGTCTGAAAAAAAAATCGATTTGTTTGTCAGAATCTATTATGTTTTTTTTTTTAGATCTTCAGTGAATGAATCAAAAACTTGGGACTCTTTTTTCTCATTAGATACTGGCTCCTCTTTAGTATTGATCTTGGTAGAAAAATCGAAAGTTTGATTTTTTGAATTATTATCCTGAATCACTGTTGTATAAAGACTTGATAAAACATTATCCTTGATTGGCTTAGTAAAGGTTGGAATAATATAAGATTTTCCACAAACTATCATTTGAAATTCATGTTTGTTTGTATCTAGAATTCCTTAAACTTTTCGAATCCATGGCATTCCTAAACAAAGAAGATAATTAGGTTTTCCATCATCAATAACAACAACATGTCCTGTTTCAGTAACTCATTTATTTTTATATTTTATAGATATTGGTACATCCTTATGTCCTCCTTTTAATTTCATTATATGATCAAAATTATGTCTAAGGGAAAAATTTGGTGCCATCTCAAGATTCCATCCTAATGCCTCATTTAGTGCTTTATTCATAACAAGACATCCCGATGCTGTATTGGCAAACCCATCCGGAATAATTATATCTTCAATTCTACACTGCATATATTCAAGTGATTTGGGCCATTTATTTTTTGTAGATGGGTCAATAATTTTTTTTCGCATTGCTAGAGATAATAATTCTAATAACTGGTTATCTGATTCTAGAAAAAGGTTTGGCATAGTGACTTTTTCATTTTGTTTAGATTCTGTAACTAAAGATTTGCATGAAATTACTGATTTATTCTGTAATGTCTTACTTATTGTTGGTGATATCCGTTTTTTTTTTCTAAATAGGATGGAGGGGCATGCTATTGATTATCTTCCTTATTATACCCACCTTTATCCTCCTTGCTATTATCTGAATTAGAAGGTGTGTATTGGGGATATATTGGCTTGAGAGATGTAAAATATGATCGAGTATAATTAGATTGGACCGTAGGTTGAT